ACAGACATGTAAGGCTTAAAGTAAACATTGCTGTCATTCAACGCAATGGCACCGAAAATATACAATTCTTGTGATTCATTGCTGGCCAAACACCAGATGTGTAATCATATACACAGAATCCATATGCCTATAGACTCCCATACAATGGTTATCATTGAATCGCATTGGAAGACAATCATCAGGAGTTTTCCATCAGTTCTTCTCATATCTCAATCAAAAACAAAAGTCAATTATTTCCGCAAAGAATTTTTGTTCATTTGAAACCAATCGATAAAAACAAAAACAACTATTATATTACGGTATTATTCATAACCAGTATATCATATATAATACTGTATTATTATTATTATTAATACAACAGACATATTAGGCATCAAAAGATAAAAATATAAATATTTAAATACAAGCGATAATTATATTTCATATTATTTTATTGCATAAAATATTTTTACATCTCATGTGTCCTTCAATTTAAGCGAGAAATTCGTTTATAAATTCCTATTAATATTCAAATGTCGAGAATATTCTTATCATTAAATCCTATTTCCTTGTATGGCATGAAAGCTATACATCTGTATGTCATTCAATATTCATTATAACTGTCATACAATCGCCGTTACATACAATTTGCCCGAAAAAACAATACAAATGCCATACAAATAGATATTTATATTCACACAATAATTGCTGTGATTTGAATGAAATAATTAAAACAATGAAAGTTTTTGTATTCAACAATATTCACACACGTAGTGCTAAATACCAAAACAATACAAATGCCATACAAATAGATATTTATATTCACACAATAATTGCTGTGATTTGAATGAAATAATTAAAACAATGAAAGTTTTTGTATTCAACAATATTCACACACGTAGTGCTAAATACCATAGTTTCGTCACTTGTTTACAATACAGTCAACGCTAACTAAATAGGCGTTTGTTTTACACTCAATACGGGATATAATTCATTGATTAAATTTTACTATTAAAAAGTGTTCATAACTTTTCACTAAACTCTTCATTAAAATGCAAACATAAAATCAGTATTTAATGAATGCAAACGCAAAACATATGCTAAAATCATTTCCTAAAAACATGTATTGACTGTTAATACTTGACAGGCGTTACACAAAATGCATAACTTCGTGACAGAGGAGAGGTGTATGAGACGAGTCATGTCTGGCATAAAAAGGCCCAAAACATTGACAATATAATCGCCGGCATTCACTCCAATACACCGGACGATCATTTGTGCCCTTTTATACACAACAGATGTTTATCATAACATCAAACGTCAAATGTGTTGGAAATAAGAAAACAATAAATATTTGTATCAATTCTTACGTCCATTCAAATCAAGCACTTTTCGTGTGACAATTAAGTAATAATTTGCTACACACTTATCGCATATGAGGCCAACCCTTCCCCCCATCCCTACCACTCGTAGCCCACAATCTGTCAGTCGTTTCTATACTCATACTAATTGTTATCTCAATTAATGTAATACTTTTATGCCTTTAATTCACTGACGCCTCAAAGTGTATATGAAATCAAACTTTTTAACGATTAAAGTCTAGTCTAAACTCTAGACTACTGTCTGCTTATAAGTTATAACTAGATATAAATCGAGAAAATTTAATTTAAACTTTTTTATTTCACTCTTCAATTCACCACTTGTTTTGCCTCTCGTATCGTATTTTGCAGTTTTTTTATACAACACGTCACTCATCTGTTGAGATCCCAAAAGCAAATCAATGGCTAAATGCGGTGGTATTGGAGAGACCAAAGACCCGGACGAAACCGTCCATCACATCTGTCACGAGGTTTGTGTCATATCATGTCATGTATTTCAATGCGAAGATCACGACATTCATGGCTTTTGTAAAATTTGTCGTTTCTCTCTCTCTCTCTCTAACTGTTATCTCGTTTTGACGATTACAACGAAATGCGCGAAAACAGGTCCGCAAAGACGTGGAGGACAAGAATGGCAAGACATTCACCGAATTCACGCCAATCGGGTTTAGGACACAACTAGTGAATGGTGTCAATTACTTCATTAAAGTATAACTATAACAACTCATAACTGATCCCACGGGTGACTAACAAGTGTAATGAATGCAATGACAGGTGCGCGTGAGTGATGGCAAATACGTGCACATCCGTAGCCATAAGGCATTCACCGGTGAAATCAGTTTATCTAACTTTGAGGACAACAAGACTCTCGAGGAAGAGATCGCGTACTTCCACTGACAGGTCGTGTGTCTCCAGACACACGCCGCGGATGGAAGTGACCACTGATTCCGTCTCTGTTTTTCTTTCAGCAGATATTATATATTACTTAAGACTTATTTTCTATGACTTTTATCACGTGTTTATAACTAATTAAATACCGATTCAATTGAAACCAAAAAATCAAATTTTTAAACAAAATGTTTGCACTTTTGGACCAAAAAATGTTAGCATTTCTGCGAAACCACTGAAATCTGTGTCAAAATTCATACTCACGTCAAGTGTTGGCAACAGTTGTGTTGATTGCGATCGCAATTAAGTCTCGGTTTTTAATCACAATTTAAACACAAAATATCGGTTCAAATGAGAGGTTAATCGAAAAACAGACCGATTTTGCGGCAAAAGTACGTGAATTGCCATAAATTACGGCCAAAAATGTTTGCATTTTTTACATAAAAACGTGTTTTTGTTTACACTTTGAAATCGTGTCGTAATTATCGGTCACTTAATTGTCGCCAAATTAATGACAATTTAGTGATAATTAAGTGAGAAGTATAGCCATTAGATCCCAATCCACGCCACCATATCATCAGACAATGCCATCGTATGAGCTATTCTTCATCACAAAGCGTTTAAGTAAAGTAAGTGATGGTTGAGTCAAACTTATGGATCAATTGGTGGCCAAAGACTGGTCACGAGTGGTGACCCAATTGATGGCTAAATGTGTAGTGAATTGAATGGTTTGTATTGCAGAAAGAGTTGGTGTCGTGTCTGAAGAGGACGGGAGAACTGATACTCAACTCTTCGGGTATACTCCGGAAGTTGGAAAATCTGGGCACTCGTCAGTTGCCGTTCAAACTCCGGACACCTGTTCCCGGATCCAAGAGATACGCGTCCGGAAAGTATGCGCTTCACCACCGATGACCACACTTACCACTCATCGCTCACACTATGATTGTCTCCGCAATAATGTCTTGTCTAACCAATCATATGATGTAATGCCGAAGTAGTTATAGCACTGATTGATTTAACGGGTGTTTAACTCTGTATTAACTTATAGTTCATAATTATATGGTTATTGTCTCACTTATAGTGAACTCCTATTTATAGTAAACACAGATTTTTACTATAAGTCTTTGAATGAGAGGTTAAGTTTGCAATTGTTTTTGTAGTGCTATTTTGCGGCCATAATTGCGGTGACTTTCAAAATGCGTTGATTTAGTGGTAAATGTAATAAATTGTTTTTAAATGAACTGAATGTGTATTGCATTGACCGGCAGTTTCTTCCTCTTCCACTGCGATGTCCCGCCACTCACTATATATAAGATACACGAAAGCCTACGAATGGACACCGATATCATGAAAGTGCGGTACACAACGAAAGACACTAAAATACCCGACGATTACGAGTGTACGCTCGAGGAGGAGCTCAAACCGCCGGCACTCAGGCCTAGCGTTCAAATGCTTGTCAAGCAAAACGAGGAACGGATCAAGAAGTCAAAGCTAACCCCAACAGTGGATTAGCTTTAAAAATAATTCAATAGATAGTGTTGTGTTGTTTTCCATTTATATATTTAATTATTAGAAAATTTACAATAAAAATAATTATTATGTAATTTTATTTCACATTTGTGTAGAAAATATTTTAGTGTAAAATAATTGTTTGTATTTTTTTGGGGGGAAAACTATCATTGATTTAAACATAGCATTCAATTTAAGTAGCGATTCGTTTAATAATAAATGAAAAATAAACATTTTCTATGTTTTATGTGCTTTTGTTTTGATTTATTGAAACAATTATTTCTAGAAATTAGTTATAAATTGTTTGATTATTAAATGAAGTGTTGTTCACATATGACGAGTGTTGCCAAAGTTGATACCGCTTTGATTGGCGCCCTTATTGGAGCCGTACTGAAGACCAATCACTCCCTGTCCGGCCTTCATCTGCTCTTCGCTGAATTCCCTGACATTGGCCTCCGATTCTTTGGGACCGATTCCGTGGACGCCGTGTTTGGAGGCCTTTCGGCCCAACGATTGCAGACATATCTGAACGGAATGCAGATTCTGCTGTTCCCAGAGGTCGATGGTCTGGAAGAGTTCCTCAGAGGGAACGCCCAACTTCTGGGCGCCTTCTAAGAAGAACTGTATGTTTTCCATGCATTTGAACGCCATCTTCGATGCGTTCACTTTCTTTACTGTATTCGCTTGAATGGCGTTCACGAGTCTAATCATTGAGATAATAGTTTTTACGTTAAGAATATTCTTGAATGCAATTGTTATGTGTGTTGTCCTCACCTGCAAAGTACAGTCCCATCCTTAAGCGTCTCGTAAAATGAATTATTCTCGCCGTTCGTATCGATGTCTTCATTGAGGAGATCTTTAATCCATACCAGGATTTGATGAGACAGTTGTGGATCGTATTTGGAGTTTATCTACAAATTAATATGACATAACATTTGATTATTTTAAATAATTTATTTGTTAGGAATTTATGCAAAACTCGATAAGGAATTGATTTATGAAATCATTTCTATATAAAGCGTTAACTCCTGTTTCCGTTCATTGAGTTTATATCCTTATAATTGAGATAACAATTGATATTAGTATTTGAAATGACATTCTTCTGTAGTTTTTAATGCCAACAATTTGTATTGTTTTCAAAGTATTTGTAAATATTTGATTTATACAATTGACGCAAATCTCAATCCGTTATCCAATGTCTAACATTTCATATTAAATCATAAAATCAATTATAAATTCTATTCATTCCGTGAATTATAATTCATTAGTTATCGTGAAATCTTAAGTATTTATTAATTCTTACTTTATTTATAAAGTTTTTATATTTATGTACTAAAAATTGAGAACAAGGATTCAGCAAAATCTAAATTTTATCATTAATTCAACCAATAAATTAAATTTTAAGTTAAAAATTAATTGTTATACTATATTAATACTTATTGAAGTGATTAAATGATAAATTTTCAAATTAAATTAATAAAAAGCTATTAAATAGTTCACTACATATTACGGTTAATTGTCAAATATTTTGTTCATTAGGACATTATGATAATTTTATATGATTGAGTGCCTGTTATTAACACTTATCTAACAAAATACTAACGATTTTTATAACTTACAATAATAACAACTAAATCCTGTAAATATATTTTCCTATTTTTATCGTTTGTCTGATAATAAACTGACGTTTATATCAAAGATAATGAAAAATGTAACATTTTTTGTATTTATAATTCAATTTAAGCGATAAAATTGAAGTTTCAAGAAATATTTATTTCAATTTCAAATGTCAAACAAAATAAAGCATATATTGTATTGAAAATAAATCTAGTTTACCATAAATATGTAAATATTTAAATAATTCTCCCAAAAAGCATATGAATATATTAAATATCATATTAAAAATTGTGTGTGAATTGCGATATAAATCAAAAAATATAAATGTTTTTTCGCATAACTCTCAGAGGCCTTCAATTTAACGTTCAATAATATGTGAAATATTTTTTTAATATAAAAAACTTGTTGAATATTAAGAGCGGTTGGGTTTGGCTCTGGAGTCGGGGTTAGTATGGGTTCAATATATAGAGGATTTGAGGCGAAAGAAAAAATTCACAATTTATAACAACTCTTGAGGCAAAAACAAAGAGCACTTAATATATTCTTCTTCATAACTCTTCTACTTCTTTGTCTTAAAACTGGCCATAAATTGAGCGCAAAATTCAAGGACTCAAGCGATTTGTTTAACCAATTCTGACAATACTTGTTAGATATTATAAGCTATTATTTGTTTTGTTAGACAATTGCTTAAAAATTCTTAGCCGATTGTAGACATTAATAAAATACTAAATTTTTAATACAATTGATAATATTTTTATTCAATTCTTCACACAATAGCGTAGATATGATTATTCATTTCAACGGAATATTAATAGTCGTATAAACAGTTTTAGATAACCTTTTGATTTTGATTTAAATTTCAAATGATAGTAATTTATATGAAAATTCATGTAATCAATTACTTATTAATTCTGGTATCTTTACCATATTCAATATTGAGCTAATAAATTAGTTCCCTTTAATTATACATTAAAGATAGTTATTATTATAATTAAAAACAAATTTAATGTCAAATATGCATGGTAACAAATTTTTAAATATATTAGAAAGTTTTAAAATAATTAACTACAAATAAAAACTAAATTTAGTTCAGTAATAGACTATTATTAATAATAAATAAAAAATATTTATACAAAACATATGCTAAAACTAAATTCCAAATAAATTGTTTTAATATAACACTTGTATATAATTGTGCTAAATATGTATCGAATATCGTATTAAACATAACACTAATAAATATTATGCAAATCTAAATGAAATTTAATATTATATAAAAAGTTGATCATAAGTTCTGTACAATAAAAGCAATAAAAGTATACATACTTTGCTGTGCGCTTCGGCAGCGAAACCCGCTTTTTCGGCTCTATTTGATGCCATTATTTGAAACAAATAAGTTTTAAAACTCGGTTTTTACACAAGAATTATAAACCAAAATAAAACAATAAAAACGATTATTATTTAATATTTGTTCGTTAAGAGTGAGAGCAGATGTGATAGCGTTTAAGTCGATGGGACAGGCAATCAGGCAATGAGGGACTGGCAGTGTATGTGTGCCGGAGAGGAATGGGTATTAAAAAATAGTTTCAAACAACACTTGTTTTTTGACGCCCAGAACTGCTGAACAACGATAGGGAATATATGAATGTATGAATTACTCTATCAAAAAACTACTACACATTTCATATACAATATTACGTTATCTGTTATGTATTATAAAAGCCATAGTATTTGTCTACCCCCTGGTTATCAATTCTTTGTACACAACCGCTACATAATAATACAAAAGTAGGCAATAATTCCCCGAAACAATTGCCTTCATTGGGTGCTCAACAAGGTTTTGTCCATCCCTTTCCGTCGCCCTCTCTTTCCCCTTCATATCAGATAAAATTATTAGTATTAATATATGCGGGGATTCTCTCCATTAGAAATATACTTTTTTATACGCAAACTTTTTTGTTTGTTTCTGAAGGTCTGGCCATAAGGTTTAAGATTAGTATATTAGCGGTTATAGCAAACACTTTGTGAATATTTTTTGTTTGTGAAACTTTTCCTCTAAAAAAGTGACATTTCCATGAAATTTCTCGTTTTCGATAACAAAAATGGTGCATTTCATTCATCAATTCATAGAAAAAACACATTTTCGTATAATATTTGTCTCTCAAACTGTGAAACTCATTATTAACTATATCTGTCAATAATGTAGCTTATATGCCATTTCACTGAACCTAATCACCAAATAGTTTATCTCTATGAGACAATCCATAAAACATTTTATGACAATATCTTTAAAATGTGGTCAATAATAATTGACTATAAAATTTTGCAATATTACATCTACAGAGTATATCACACATATTGAGTGTTTGACAGATTATAACCGGTACATTGTTTGATATTTATTCAGGGTTATTCTTCACAAACAAACTTTAACTACAATTCCCACCCCCTTTGCACACGTTTGATATCATTCATACGTTACATAAGTGTTGTGTTTGACATATATTTACTATTTTTTAACAAAAAATTAAAACAGAGTATCCATTCTTTTACTCGTTTTATCAATTAAATGAATAATTAGTATATATTTGTTGATAATCTAAATGTGGTTTTTTAATTGATACAAAAATACTTCAAAACAGAATCTTGAATAAAATGGTCATAAAAATTATTTTTAAAAACTTTTCGCTAAACTTTTACAACTCTGTGATAACAGTAAGTGTTATATAACTTTTAGCCCATATATGGACTATTGTTGGGCAATATTCCGTAATCTGTTTTATATATAAGCAAATGAAATAAATAAATAAATTTTAATCTTATTTGATATGACATTAAATGTAAAAAACTTTTAACAATTTTTAAATTCATAAAAGATCTCAATAAATCATTCATTTTATTTCAATTCATCAAAACTAATACAAATATTCAAAATGAATTTAAATTAAAATGTCAAAAAACAATTTTCAAACTCTTATTTATGCAATACATTTAACCAATCGATTGAATGTAAAATTAAATGTATTGTGTATTCAATTTATTCATCAATATTAACATTTTGTCAATTTTATAACTAATAAATTCAGACAAAAAAAAATCCCCAATCATCGCAAAAATATCTATAAATTCAATGCTATAATCAAATGTAAAATCTAAGAAATATTGTATTAATATTTATGGCATAACTTATTGTAATACAAAATCTGTATCGAAATCTAAAAACAACAATATTTTCCCCCAAAAAAGTGATTGTAATCTAAAATTTGAAAAAGTGATGTGTTTTGTACTGAAAAAAACTAACAAATAAGTAAAATACAAGTGATTACAACATGAGATGAGTCACTACTCGGGTATGAGAAGTGGTGTTTATTTTTTGGTGAAAGTCAGGTATGGCTGAGGTATGTGTTTATAAAGACATTACTTTTTCCTCTCTTATAGCCTCAGGGCTTCTCTCTCTCTCTCTCTCCCCTTCTCTCTGGGTCTCCAAAAACAACAAATCTGTAACAAAAACCGAGTTTTTCGTTGTCTTCGTTGAACGCATCAGTGGTTTAGTGAATATAACGGCATTGTGTGGCAGATAATGGACAGCCGTTGGGATGGCTGTGAAAAAACCAACATTGCTTTGACTTCAAGTGCTTAGTGTTGGCATCTGTAGTGTCTATTGTCTCATCGATAGGCTTCGGTTCAGTGAAACCAATTATACCATCGCTTACTATAGATTGGATGACAAATACAACAAACAAATGATGAAATTATATTCAAATCAATTATTGTTTAGTTTTGTATAGCGTTTAGAAAATCACTCACAACTACACCATAATATTCACCCCAAAAAATACCACAATTTCTTATCTATCAATTGGTTGTTGTGTTCATTGTATTCGCAAAATTGTTTTTTAGAGATTAGATGTCATTTGCATTAGAATTATCTCATCTAAAGTCTGACAGTAAACGCATAATTCTCTGACAAGTCTTCACATAATTAAATATTCAATACAAAGCTTCGTATGAAAAGTATTTGAAAACTTTAAGAAATAACAGTTACTCTTGTATTCAAATATTCATAACAATTCAGTCAAAATTTCAATAGAAATATCAAAAAAGTATTACAAATAATCGCATAAACGATAGAATAACGACATCTAAAAAACAAGAACTTGTGGGAAGTTTTGAGGATTTAATTAAAAGATGTGATTCACAAATGAATTGATTATCATTAGAGAGAGAGAGAGAGAGAGAGAGAGAGAGAGAGAGAGAGAGAGAGAGAGAGAGAGAGAGAGAGNGATGCGTTCAACGAAGACAACGAAAAACTCGGTTTTTGTTACAGATTTGTTGTTTTTGGAGACCCAGAGAGAAGGGGAGAGAGAGAGAGAGAGAATACTATGAGCTAAACAAAGAATAACTCAAATTGAACCGGTATAAAAAGTTATCAATCAAATTATATAATCGAAAGCAGAATGTATTGAAAAGAGTTAAAAACAAATGTCACGACATTATTATAAAATTATTTTTATGGTCACTAAACAGATAATTAGTGTCATAACAGATGTCTAACCGAAAAAAGTGGTCCGTTTTTTACGGAACGAGTTTTTAAGCAATACGTGAATGAGTCACACAATAGGGTTAATTAAAAGGGTCGGCATTAATGCAAATAACACTCCAAACTATTGAAAGTAAGTTTGTATATAAGTGTACACTTCAAGAGCCCATCATTACTATCCCTATTGTGACCTTCACTTGCATAACAGCCCAACAAATTGCATGATTCGTAAAAATAAAGTTTGACTAATACTGCGAATACTAGTAATAACTTTTTTACATTCATTAATCCATTCAAAAATGCATGACTCATACCAAACGTGTTTTATAAATGTAATTCAAAAATGTAAAATTTGTGTACAAATTGTTGTCTTTTTAAAGTATGAAAAATTGCATTCAAATAATTAATTCATTTCATCACTACTTCCGATATGAAGTCACGTTTCCTTAGATAAAAAGTTTTAAATTTGCTTTTTGTGCGTAAAAATCATATAAATTATTAAGAAATCATTGAGAATACCATTGAAAATATGCTTATGATTCCTGAGCAGAGTCTGTATTCCTCCGCATTGGCTCTTCATATGTGACAACATATCGGCGGACAATAGTCTCGGTATAGAACCGAGCGTTAGATTCGCGTTTCCGTTGAGTAATTCGTTTGCAATGATTGTGACAATCGATTGAATGATATCTTTGGGAAGACGAGTGCAGTTTCGGACCACTTCTACCTTTTCTCTGGGCTTATATTCGTTGAAATCTTTAAGCTTTTCGTTGACAAACTCTTTGCGTTTAGTTTTCATCATTGATTGCAAACTCTTATCGTAATTCCTTTCGTCACAAATAATACAAATCCGTTTTGTGGACGGAATCCGGAGTTTATCTACTTTTGGCTCAAAGCCCAACTCACGACATACTGTCTGCAAATATTGCATATAACAACTGTATTGACTCAATGCTGAACACGTTCTTTGATATTTGGATCCATTGAAGTCGAACGGACAGCACGGAAGCAGAAACGCGTTCATCGCATGGGAAGCGTTGGCGGCGATGTATGGGATCCTAATTTATCATCATTTGATAAAAACAAAAATTGATAAATCTCGGATTAAAGTCAAATAGCAATCAAAAGTTCAGTAAACATTAAATCGTTGTCAATATATAGTGTATACATATTTGTTATTAGAAAATAGTTTTTTCCTAATGAATCTAATCTGGAAATCAGTCTATTATTAGAACCGGTAGTCAACAGAACTCAAGGCTAATAAATGTAATTAGTGTTTGAGAATTAAGTTTCATCTGAGAAAAGCATTTATATAATTACGCTATAAATGTAATTATATTTTCTTCTTCTTTTACAAGTAAAATAAAAAACAAAAAATTAATGATTTTGGTTGAGTACAAACCATGGCGTCAATTCATCGGAATGGTTGCCAATCAGCCAATCGTAGTGTTCAAAGCCGAACGTGTCGTCCGACGGCGTGAACACTCTCTCCACTAAATCCACTTTCGGGTCGTATTTATCCCAAATGTTTCGTCGCCTCAAATCGATTCCCAACCCTTTGTAGCCCTCATTCGTCAACAGATAGACGAGTAAACCATTTCCGCATCCAATGTCCACAAATGTTTGTTTGCATTTCTTATCTCTGGCCTCGTTTTGTTGTTCCCACAGAACGATAAGATATGATGCGATCGCTATGTCTTCAAACACAAACTTTAGCGGATCCGTTGTCTCGTATTTGTTCCACAATTCAACCAATTGTTGGCCGTATTTACGCTTCAATCGGTTGTATGTGAGACAGTAGTGGTCGACACCAATCAATTGAAGCGATCCTTTCGTTTGGTTGCCTTCCAGTTCTTGACGCATCCATTGACACAATTTGGGCAATACTTTCTCATTCAGCCATACGTTGGCCTCATTTCCAAACAGATACGTTAAGTCTATTTCTTGGGATCCGTTGAGTGAGAATTGATGACTGGATTGTGGTATGAGTCGGCTGTCGCCAACTTTCGGTACGAACACTACCCGTGCGTTCTGTATATCAATCAACACAAAATCAATCACTTCCGAGTCGTTTGTATCACAATCTGATGACAATGTCTTAAGGCTTTGCTTAATAAGAAGATGCCTAACGATGAGAGTCTGACTCTCAAGACATCTGATTTGAGACAATTGGAAATCACACAACTGTTGGCACTGTTTTAGCGCAGCTTTCAGTCCATTGAGCGAACATTTATGCATTAAATCACAGATTGTCTCAAACGAGTGATTGATTTGCCAGCAGTTAAGGACATGACAGCCCATCAAACGCTTATTGATTAGATTCGGTCTCTCGATATACACGTAGAACAGTGAACTCCAGAACGAAGAGATCGGATCAGTCATTGTGTTTCCGATGAGAGAAATCACTGCTGTTTATAAATGTCACTAGATTTCAATAACTATACAAAAACCACTCTTAAATATCAGATAATTATTTATTAAGTGATTGCAAATGCAATCCACTAAATAGAGAGTCAAATATCAGGTAATTATTAATCAGTATTCAGTTATTCAGTATTATTTAAAAATCAGACGATTATTAGTGAAACTATACAAAAATCATTGAAATTCGCTGTCATTTAAAAACTCGGTAAATGTCTTGAGAAATAAAACGCTTTGAAATACTTTAAACACAAACTAACAGTTAATAAAACATACGTTTGTGTCTCACATCAAACAAATGTTAACTACAAAATGAAATCAAGAGAAAAATCAAAATACAATATCACTGAACCGATGGTTAGACCAATCAATTACTGGACTGACACGCGTTCGGCGGAGATCTCCTGGTCTTTGGCGCTGTCGATAGAGCTCTGCTTGACTTTATAGTCGTTGAGCGCGGCTTTGATGGCGTCTTCGGCCAACATAGAGCAGTGCAACTTCACGGGCGGCAGACACAGCTCCTTAGCGATGATCGTGTTCTTGATCTTCAGCGCTTCCTCCACTGTCTTCCCTTTAACCCATTCGGTGGCCAAAGAACTGGAAGCGATGGCCGAACCGCAGCCAAACGTCTTGAACCGGGCGTCGACTATCTTGCCGTTTGTGTCCACTTTGATCTGCAATTTCATGACATCGCCACAGGCGGGGGCGCCGACCAGACCTGTGCCCACCCGCTCCTCGCCCTTCTCGAAAGAGCCGACGTTTCGCGGGTTCTCGTAGTGATCGATAACCTAACGGTACGGACGCAACCAATCCGTGGTTAACATTATATTCGGCACACAATTAGACGATTGATTGGCAAACCTTTTCGTGATATAAACGCTTAGCCGGCGATTGTCTCAAGTCTTGAACCACTCTTCGGGCCAAAGCATTAAACATATTCTTCCGGAGTAAACGCTTTTGTATACAATATATGCAATTGAATCGAAAGGTCAATGGATTTGATTGCTATTAAAGATAATAATTGATTAAAAACTGAATCAACGATTGAGTGGTGAAAGCGTTTGGCAACAAATGCTTTACGCAATCAATACATGTTTTGGTGGAAAATTCAGTACAAAATCAAATGCAATGCAAACTGTAATGAGAAGTGAAAAGTGAATGTGTTTTACATTTACATTCAGTTTACTGTATATTTTGCGTTACATTTATTACAATACGACTTAAACAACACATCAATGCCTGACATCTATCGCACAAATTTAACCGATTTTCCCCACAAATTCAAAAACAACGTTACGCTAAATGCGAGTGCGAGGGTCAGCGCAATGTGTGGGTGTTTTGCTATGGCTTTGAAGGGCCCAACTGTTGCCTCGCATAGAGTGGGGGGCAATAGAGGGGCCAATAATATGAGCGCATGTTTTAGTAAATACCGTTATTTTTGCGCGCATTTAAAGCTACACTTGATTTGATGGGCAAAACATTTGTCACATGTTTTTAACCCTAAAAAACTCATTGTCTTCGCATAACCTCTTGAGTCCGCCCTGTCTTTGACTGTCTGTTATCTTTGCGTCACTTGACTCACATCCCACTCTCTTATTGCCTACCGATGGCTCACACCGTGCTGTTAGTGCAGGCGAGCGAACTCGAGACCAGACAGTACTCCGATTATGACAATCTCCCGGACGCTCTTCAGGGTAGGTCCACCACTGGATCACCTCATCTGATCCGGTGTTTGTCACGTGTTGTTTACTAATCGCTTTGTTTGTTTGTTTTGCACGCATTGTCTGCACATCTATACCATTGCGGACGACAGGCGTGTGTCATATGTTTGAACAGCACCTGAAGAAGTCGTTCCCGAAGAATACGGAGATTCAATACGATTTGTCGCAACTCTTCGCATACATCGATGAGTTAACTGATGTCAATCTTCTGGTGTGGCAACGATTCAGCCATTCGTACGTTCCCTACAATAAAGAGTGGATTAAAGAGAAACTCTATATTATGTTAAGANCGGAGATTCAATACGATTTGTCGCAACTCTTCGCATACATCGATGAGTTAACTGATGTCAATCTTCTGGTGTGGCAACGATTCAGCCATTCGTACGTTCCCTACAATAAAGAGTGGATTAAAGAGAAACTCTATATTATGTTAAGAGAGGACAACAACAAAGAGGAGCCGTCGGCCACCACAGCCACCAATGGTGTGGTCGACATGAATGGCATTCAGTGATCATCTCTTTTAATTGATATATTGTTTTGCAATGCCTTAAGTGCTAAATATGTGTTCATTTATTTGGTTTTTCTCTCAAATCTCTTTATTTCGCTTTAAATACAATTATTTTTTGTTTCATTAAAAATGTTATTTATATTTTTGAGTCAAATCATAACTACTTCAGTATTTTTATGACAATTTTTACGAATCAACGTATAAATTATTAGGTCTTAAGAAATATTATCATTTTTTTCAATAATAATGAATAAAAGTTTTTCAATAATTTCGCTGAATCTGTGATTTTCATTGCTATTCAAAAGCATTGAGACGTTTGCAATGAATTGGTGTTCAATGGGATGACGCGATACAATCAATTCACTATTCATATATAGCCTTAAATGCAGTGAATATTAAACTAATCCAATATTAATTAACCAAAAGGGGATTTAAATTTTAAATATTAAATTACTCATCAATTAAACTTAAGCTATTAAACCATGATGTAATTGAATTCAACTTTAGTATTAAGAACATTCACAAAACACGTTACATATTCATCACGTTTACGCACACCTTATC